TCACGGTGACCTCAGACATTTCTGCCAAGGCCATAACCCCCAGGCTACAGTATCCAGTCATTTGTCCAGACCGGCTTCCAGGCTTAGAGTGGAACGGCCAACACCTGAGACACCCAGGACCTATGGGTGCTGCTTGACAAAGTTAGGCCTTTCAGTGGTTCCTTGACTGTTCAGACCGCTGCTCTTCAAGTTTACTTTCCCCAGACACCCCTTCTCAGAAGATGACCTTGACTCTGACTCATTCGGCCCTGGGTCATCTTGCTGACATTCCCTTCAACATTATCTTGCTCATTGTTTCTCTTTCAAAGGAAACTCTGTCGTCCTTCCCCAAGTCACACTGACCCTATGCTCTCCAGCCACCTTGGTTTCCTCAACTCGCCACCTCTCCTTTGCCTGAAAACTCAATGCCTGTCCATCCTGGAAGGTAACTTGAGTTGACTTGGCAGCTTGAGGGCTCCTCCTCCTGTTCTCTGGCTCCTTCCTGAAGCTGCCTCCATCTTGCCTTTCTTCCCCTTCTGAACTTCCTTGGTGGTTCTGACTGAAGCATTGCCCTTGGGATTGTCTATTCCAAGGTCATTGGATAGCCTGCTAAAGTCAAGTTCCTCCTTTTGAAACCTCAGTCCTAGCCTGGGTCTACCCCCGCCCCATTGCTGACCATTGCCTGCCCACTCAGCCACCTGGCCATCATTCAGCCCAGGCCTTAGGTGTCCCCCTCAAGTCAGCCCCGACCTGGATGAGCCCTCAGCTCTAACTGCTTTCCCCACACTAGCTCCGGGACCTTCACTCTCTCTTCTCACCGTCCTTTCACTTCACTACAAGTGTGACCTGCATAGGTAATCCCTCCTCTCATCCCCTCTGAATTCCAGTTTCACAGGAGGGTGGTTCTGCTGAGCAAAAGCAGGATCTTGCTGCTCTCCAAACTCACTACTCTGGCCTCAGTTTCCTCATCTTGAAATGAGGGGCATGGATGAGATGATTTCAAAGGTCCTCTCAATAATAAAATGCCAGGACCCCACCAAATCACTTCCCTGTCCTACCGCCACATGCACAGACCTGAGAACAACTCAAAACAAGACCCAGGGCCCCCTCTGTGCCATTTCCCCAGCTTTTCCAAATGCAACCTCTAAGTCACATCCAGTCAGTCCCAAGTCCTGTTTCCTCCCTCCTGAATGTCCTACTCCACACACCCACTCTTTGTCTCTGCCACCTCCCAGTCCCCCATCCAGCCTGGTAAGCCCACTTGTCTGAACGCCATAGGCAGTTCAGCTTCCAAGTTTGCCCTGGTCCCACCCTCAAATGCCCACAGTTCAAGGCACAAGTTCCATGTTCCCCTATAGTGTGGAGCCATGAGGGCCTAAGTCCAAGTCCAGGTCCTGCTACTTAACTCTGACCTTTGGCAAACTCCTGAAACTGTTTTTTTTTTTTTTTTTTTTTTAAAGAGAGAGCAAGAGAGAGAGATTTTTAATATTTATTTTTTTTAGTTTTCGGCGGACACAACATCTTTGTATGTGGTGCTAAGGATCGAACCTGGGCCGCACGCATGCCAGGCGAGCACGCTACTGCTTGAGCCACATCCCCAGCCCCTGAAACTGTTTTCTTAATGTGAAGTGGAGGTAACATTACTTCCTACTCGCTAGGAAGTCAAAGAATCAAACTGCGTCTGTGTGAAGTATTTGGCACATTAGCAAACCCACTTATTACCCCCTACACACCTGTGCATTTTCCCTCCTAAATTGAGCTTACTTCACTAATCTTCCATCTTGTGATGTCCCTCTGTGACCTATATCCTCACCCCCAGGGTAAATTTGTGGATGAAGGAGCACTGGAAGACACCCTGTCCTCAGACTCACCTTCCAAGGTCTGGCTCTCCAGAGCTTGGAGGATCTCTTGTGTGAGGAAGGGGCATTTGTGCCCCACAAGCCTTTGAAAAGACAGATGTGCCTTGGATCTGGTGCACCAGGTGCCTGGGCAAAGCCTGAGAGCTCCATAGATTCCAGGAGAGGGAGGAAGAGCATGAGGTGTCTCTTGGAGTGGTGGCACTGTGGCACTCCCTGTGCTCCCCACTCCTCACCATGATCACATCAGGCCTACTGTCTGCATGTGCACGGCATAGAAAGGGTCCTGAGGCTCCCAAGCCATAACGGGGCCTTTTGTCCTGGACAAGGGTCGGGGAGCTAGTTCCTGGGCACCTTTGACACCAGATCCAGGTTGACGGCATCTTCCGTGTGCCAGGCACTGCTTGAAGCACGTGAGGCTCAGCTGCCTGACCTCCCTCTCGGGCAGCACTGTGAGGAACCTGGCTGGGGGACCTGCTCAAGGTCACATTCATTAGCTAGGGGAAGCTGGACCTCCAACCAGGAGCCCAGGGCCTGCTGTTGCCCGCTGCACCATCCTCCACTTCCAGGAATCCCTGTCATCCCGCTGCAGTGGGCTCCCTCACCTTGCAGTTGCTGTGACAAAGTCTGAGTTCCAAATTACTCCAGCTTGGACCTTATGAGGGAAGAATTAGCCAGAGGGCAGGAAGAGCTGCAGGGCTGAGGCCCAGGCCTCCTGATGACGGTCATTCCTGAGGGAAGACTGGAGGTGGAGATCAGAGCCCAAGCCCTGAGCAGAGCCACACAGCAAAGGTGACCCCAAGGGTGCCATCAGGATGGCAGAAACAGAGGCCATCATTCTCAAGTGATGGCCACAGGGACCAAAGGAACCGGTCACAAGCCTTCCCCAACCTAAGGCGAAAACAGCCCTTTTGTTCAGGTCTGATGAGGAATGCAATCCCACCCTTGTGAGTCCCTGTGTGATGGAGGTGGCTAGTTGGAAGACAGCCCCCAACCTTAGGAGGGAAAATGGGAAAGGGAAATTGAAGCAAGCTTCCTGTTTGGCCAGGTGCCTCAAAAGTCACCCCAGGGCTGGGAAGTTCACCCCAACAGGAAGCCAAGGGCACCAGGACCACAGATGTGGTAGGTGGTAGTTGAAAAGAGCTGGACCTCAGGTCTAGGCTTGCTATGTGGTCTTGAATAAATGGAAGGCTTGGATTCTTCCAGCCCCAGCACCATGAAACAAGCCTCACCAGCCCTGGAGAGTCAGGGCTTACTGATGTGGCCCTGGGACATGGCATGGCACAGTGGCAGGACAGTCACTTTGGTATCTGGAGTGCCAAATAGGTGGAGGGTAAGGAACCAGATGTACCAGTCCCCTCTAGTCCCAAATAGAGGTAGAGGTGGAGGTGGGATTGGACTGGCCAGAAGGGACTGGAGCCCTAGCATTTTGAATATATCTTTCACTGAGTGACCCTGTGACTTGAAGAAGCTCATGTAGTCCCAGAGCCTCAGTTTCCCTATCCATACAATGGAGAGGATCATCTTTCCATCCTGGGTTACCAGTCATGAGTTTCTAGGGAATACCACATAGTAGGCCATCATTCCCAGAACCTCCTTTTCCCTACATCCTGGAGGAGGTTTTTCAAAATAACTCCAGAATGAAGAAAGAATTTGCTCAGTCTTGCTGAGCATCTGGGGCTGGAATGGCAGGTGGTTGGGGGGGGATAGTCACCTCGTTCCAAGCATTGATGTCAGCGCCTCCTGGGAAATTGCCTTCTCACCTCTCCTGGGCCTAAAATAGAGCTGGGGGAGAGGGGAGGTTGTCACAAGCCAGAGACACCTCCCAGGTTCCCATCAGAGGCCCTGGGGAAGCAGAACAACCAGGAAGGACTTCCCTGCCTCCACTCTTGCTCCTCAGGGGCCTGTGGTCCCCCAGGGTGTGTATAAAGATGCTCTGGCCTTGGGAAAGTCAAGGTGAGAGCTCATCAGTTGCTTATCTACCCATGCCATGCCATACCACACCTCAGGCACACAGGCATTGGGCTCTTGGGACTCCTAACAGAGGTCAGGGATGCCAGCCTCTAGTTCTGGAACCCATCTTACCCAGGAGCTCAGTAACTGGGTTGAGGGTGCAGCTGGAAAGGTGGGTTGGGCGGTCAAGTTTAAGACAACCTATTCTGACCAGAGGGGAGGTGGTAGTCTGCAAAAGCATCTTCTACTCCTTAAAGATTTGGACAACCACAAGAGGGGCAGAAATGGGGCATGCTAACAGCATGGGAACACCTGGGTGGTTTATATTTTATTTAGGGGGAAGTTCCCTATGCCAAAGATTTAAGAGCCCAGAGAGGAAAGCCAGCTTTTCCTGGTGGTTGTGATGGCAGCAATCCCTGATACCCTCCTAGAGGCAGGGGAGTCTTTGACCAGAAGAAGTAGCCTGCCAAGTGGGAAGGGGTCCCAACCGCAGGTGTGGGAGGACTGCAGTGACCTGCTCTGCTGCAGATGGACAAGAAATCCGGAAGGCATGAGCAGGGCGTTCGCCAAAACAACAACAAAACCTCTGTCCATCTCTCCACCTTCCGGGCTCCCGCAGCCTTAGGTCAGCTGGGACACTCGGGCTGAGGCCAGGGCAGTCTTGCTGAGCATCCGGGGCTGGAATGGCAGGTGTGCAACACCAGTGGGTGAAACCGGGTCCGGCCGCCACGCCCCGGCATCAGGTGCCCAGACTGGCTGTCTTTGGCCATCGAGTCAGAGACCCGGGGGCCCCCTCTGCACCCTGCCTCCTTCCCCCTACGAATCTATGGGTCCTCACGGATCCTCAGGCAACGGGTGGCCGAGGAAGGGACCGAAGGAGAGGGAGTGCACTCCGGCCGTGCACCTGCCGAGGGGGCAGAGGAGGTGTCGGAAGCGACCCCCGGGGCGGCGCCTCTTTTGTCCTCCCGTCGCGGCGGCCGGGCCAGCGGGCTGGGGGGCGGGGGTGGGGGGCGGGCCCTGGGCTCACGTGCTCGCCGCGCCGCTCTTAACCCGGCCCCGCCGCCCCGCCGGGATGGCCGCGGCCGGAGCGCGCTGAGCCGGCGCCTCCCTGCCGCCCCCGCCCTGCGGACCCCCGCCGCCCGCTCGCGCCCCCGCCCGCCGGCCGCCGGCGCCTCCCGCCCCCGGCCCGCCTCCTGCTCTCCGCCGCGCCGCTGGCAGCCGCAGCCCCCGGACCCGGAGGATTATGAGCGAACCATGAGGCGGCTGCGGCGCCGGGCGATCGCGGCTCTGCTGCTGCTGCTGCCGCTGCTCCCCGCGCCCGGTAAGTGACCCCCGCCTTGCCGGGTACCCCCGTCCGGCCCCCGCCCCGGGCTTTGCGGCGGTTTCTGCTGCAGCCACATTTTCCTGCAGTGCCCCGGGTGACAGCCGATCCAGAGCGCGGGAGGGTGGGGGAACCGGAGAAGAGGCAAGGTGCGTCCACCCACCTGTCCCGATCTGGCCGGCCTCACCGCGGCCATTCCCCTGCCGCTGGCCGGCCGACTCTGCAGGTCTCTGCAGGTTTGGGGGGGCAGTCGTGACGGTTGGGCAGGACGAAGCTCCTGGTCCCCTCCCCTTGGGGTTCTTCCCCTGCAGGGTAGCCAGATCCTCCCACCCGATTAAGATCCAAGGCTCCAAGGGCCACGCCAGATTGGGGGCTGGGGTGTGCCCACCCGCTTCCCAAGTCTCCTGCCCCGTGGAGGGCATCTGCCTGCAGCTATGGCCTTGTCTTCTCAGGTCTTGGGGCCCGGGATCCTGTAGGAGCTCTGCGCTGGAGGGGCTCACCCCAGGTGGGTATTGTAGAAGCCCCCGAGGTCACAGAGCCCAGCCGTCTGGTAGGGGAGAGCTCCGGGGGAGAGGTCCGAAAGCAGCAGCTGGATACCAGGGTCCGCCAGGAGCCACCTGGGGGCCCGGTGAGTGGGGCTGGTGGTGAGGGAAGGGGGCTGAAGCAGGCCTCAGAACCCAAGGGAAGCAACTGGGTAGCCAAGGGTTGGGCACCACCTCAGCAGCTGGCTGGGGCAGCTTCCCCTTCTGTACAATGGGCTGTGGGAAGCCCTGGGCCTGCCCATTCTGGTCCCTTCCATCATTGTGGAGACCCCCTGCTGTCAGCCCTCAGGGACACTGGCTCACCCAGGCCTCAGTTCTGTCATGGGTCAGCCTTCCACTAGCACCCCCTCCCTGCCCCATCTAGTGGTTCTGCTTAAAATGGGGCTTGGGCAGAGCAGTGCGGGCCAGGGAGAAGCTGCCCAGTGCCCAACCAGGGACTCTGACTTCCAGGTGCGCTAAAGCCACCCTCAGCTTTCTTAGACCAACTTTAGTATGTGCTCCTGCCTCAGTTTCCCACTGTGCACAAACTTGATCTGCCTTCCTGTCCTGGCTGAAGGTGGGATCTTGGAAAATGGTTGGAGGATCCAAGCTCACCCACCAACACCAGCTCTACCTGCCCCTGTCCTTTTCAGCTGCCAGGCCCTTCCTGCCTCCCACAGGAAGGTTAGGAATGAAAGAGATTAATTGCAATTAATAATTAATTAATATCATGTGAATAATAATCATCCAGATGGAATATCCATTCAGCGTGCCTCAGTTCTCCAGGACCTTGATGCTGAAAGTTAGCCAGGCCAATGGGGGCCGCAGAGGGCTGGATGATGAAGGCCCAGCAGAAACAGGGGGTGTCAGGAGAGACTCAGGAGGGGCACAACAAAGCTGGGAAGTTTTGGCAGCTGCGAGTGGTGGGAGGTAAATTGGGCTGGGCAGAGGGAGGAAGGAGGGAAACGGAGGCTAACATTACAGACATCTGTCAGACTGGCATCTGGCCCTGCCTAATGTACTTGGTTAAAAGCCCTTAAGGGGGAGGGGGTGTGGGGTGGTGCAGGGGTGGGGAGTACTGTGAAATGTAGTGGAGCAGGAAGGGAACATGCATAATAGATGCACCATCACTCAGGGCAGTGATGGGGACCCGGAGAGGAGGGGGCTGATGGTCCTGAGCTGGTGGCTGAGCCAGGGGGGAGAGACCAGCTTTGGTGGCGCCTGCCCAGGCTCCCTGGGAGCAGGTGGGTGGGCATAAGGATGGTCCTCGCAGCAGGGATGCGGTATCCCAGCTGCAGTTTGGTTCTTAGACTGGCTTTCTGTGAATTGTGCACCCCATGGCTGCCTTGGTAGGGCCTTGGTGACCCTGCCTGACTGTTGGGACTCTGATTGTGCTTTAGGGGATGACAGGTTGGGGAAGGAGTGATGTCACCTTGGGGTCAGGGGGCAGAGATGAGGGGAATCACAGGAGCCTGGTAGGGTTGAAAAGTCAGGGATCCAAGTGGTTTCTTGGGCCTAGTCCTTTTTGGAGAGGAGGCGCCTGTAGCTGTGAAGGAGATCAGGGAGGTGCAGTGGGACTGGATGGGTGGGGTGTCTCTTTGAGTGTTGTTCTGCTGGGTGAGTGGGTGGCCTGTGTGCATGTGTGGCGTATATGTTAGTGACCAAATCTGAATACACCTAAGGGGTGCCTGGGGGCAGGGGTGGGAGCAGAGAGTCCTGTGGGTCTGTGGGCAGTAGTCATCTGCAGTAGGGGTCTCTCTGGGACTGAGACTTCTCTCGTAGCCTCCTCAGGGGACTTAGGGCCCTGCCTCAGTTTCCTTTGAACTTCTCTGGGCCAGGCATTCTGCTGAGCTTTGTGAGCACATCATTTAAGTCTTGCAACTCTGGGAGGCAGGTAACATCTGTCTGCTCCGTTTTGCAGATGAACAAACTCAGGCTCAGAGAGGTTAAGTAACTTACCCCAAATCAATCAGATCTTAATTAGTGGAGCTGGGAGTAATTTTCTCCAAGACCAGGGCTCCTACACTGCACTGTTCTGCCTCCAGGGCTCTCTGGATTTGGGTCAAGGGGCACTTCCCCAACTGAACCCAGAGCAAGAAGGATGGGGCACTTCTGGGGCTGATGGTGGGGTCAGGGCAGCCTTGACCACCCTGGTCCAGCAGGAAGCTCTCTACACCCGCACTGCTTGGTTTCTGTCCCAAGTTATCTCCCTGGTGAGGACTTCCAATTGAGCAGTTGAGCAGGCATTGAGGTCTCCGGCCACGTGGGCAGCCTGGGGCACGTGTTGCCTCGCAGGGCTGGGGCGGGGAACCTTGGGCACTGACCTGCCTGGGTGTTGGGCTGATCTGCTCACCTTTCCGAGCCTCATCTGGATGAAGATATCATAAATCTCAGCAGCCGCTCTTACCTCCAGGAGGTGGCTATGGGAAAGGGCTTGGTTGCTGGGGATCCTTGGCTTGGTGGGGGTGGGCATGGGGCTAGCACAGGGGAAAGGGAAGGTGACCAGGAAAGAATTAGATGATAGAGAGATATCATAATTTACCAGTCCATTAGGGCAGGCACACATGTGCCTTTACACATATGAGTCTATTTAATCCTCATCCCAACTTCAGGAGATGGGACCATGATTTCCATTTCACAGATGAGGAAAACAGGCAAAGAGAGAGGAAGTAACTCTCCCAAGTCACATCAGTAGCTGAGTCAACATTGATATCCAGCCAGGTGCAGTGACCCATGCCTATAATCCCAGGGACTTTGCAGGCCCAGGCAAGAGGATGGTAAGTTCAAGGCAAGCCTGGGCAACTTAGTGAGACCCTGTTAAGATAAAAAATATAAAGGGTGCCGGGCTTGGTGGTGCACACCTGTAATCCCAGCAACTCACAAAGCCGAGGCATGAGGATGGCAAGTTGAAGACCAGCTTCAGCAAATTAGCAAGACCTTAAAAACCTAGCCATAAACTCTCAAAATAAAAACATTAAAAAAAAAAAGAGCTGGGGATTTGGCTACATGGTTAAGTGACCCTAGGTTCAATCCCCCGGGACCAAGAAGTAAATAAATAGTGTTGGAGATGTAGTTCAGTGGTAGAGCACCCCTGGGTTTGATCCCTAGTATGAAAGAGAGAAAGGGAAAGAAATCCAGAGTGGCACACTTAGCTGGTGGACTGCCCACCTCACTCAGGGTTGTATAGAAGAGGGACATGAGGGACCCCTTGCTTTCTCTTTGCCCTCAAACCCTCAACTTCTGTCCAGTATGTAAGTAGGTTGGGCCTGTGACCCAGAGAAGTGAGGGGCTTCTGAAAGAGCAGAAATGTCTGGTCACAAGCAGCCCACAGCTAAGGGTAAGGCAGGAGGATAAGAGGCCCACAGGATACAGTCAGACTGGTTGTTGACTGTGCAAGTCACCCAAGCAAGGGATAAAAGAGCTGAATGAAATCCATGGGCTCAAGAGGCTGCGTGTGTCCTGAGGGTCACCTTTCTTTGATTCACAAGAAGCTGCTATGTGGGTTAGGCCTGGCCATGGGGAACCCAGAATCCTTGGGAAGCAAGGAGAGGCAGGATGGAGGGACGCGAACAGGGTCTGGAGTGAAGGGGTCCCAGGCCCAGGAGACAGTGCTCATGTGAGCCAGCAGGGAGAGGGGGCCTCCTCCCTGAGCTGGGCCTTTGTGAGCTGCCCATAGCAGCATTTACTGGAAATGCTGCCCCAGAAGCCCTGCGCAGAGAGCCTCTTGCTTCCCTGCTGCATAGAGGTGGGGGCGACTGAGGGAGGCTCAACCTCCAGCCCTGGGAAGATGGGTGTCAGAGGCAGCAGCCCAGAATGATCACCCAGTGCTGTCACCAGCTCGAGCCAAGGCTAGCTGTGGTCTGTGGCCAGAGTTGCAGATCTAACCTGGGGTGGGGGAATGAGAGGTTCCTGGGAGGCGCATGGTGGTTAAAAGCCATGGCCAGGACCCGTGGACCCAGCTTGTTCCTAAGGGCCACGTGCTGAGCCCCATAGGAGGGAGGGTCCGCAGACTGTGGTCTGAAAGGCTGTTGGCTGTGGCTTTGGGGCGAGCGAACTTCAGTGCAGATCCTGCTCCAACGTGTCTTCCTATGTTCTGAGAAGCCCCTTCCTCCTCCATAAAACGGGTATGATGACAGTCCCACTCCTTGGGCTGCTGCAAGAGCTAGAGATGATGTGTGTCAGGTGTCCAGCCTGGGATCCAGACAGAGCCACCACGTTCCCCATTCCCAGCACCCCTGAGTGGGGCACCCGAATGCTGGCCTGAGGGATGGGCGTGAGGAACAGGAGTCAGTCGGGGCTTTGGGGGTTACCCGCCAGGCGCCAGGTGGGGCTCCAGGAGGCACAGGGCAGGCCGGGCGCCTCAAGTCCTCCCCGGCCAGACTCCAGCCTGTGGGCTTGGCCTCTCCCAAGCACCCTCCTGGCTGCCTAGAGGAACCCAGCTGCCCAGCACCTTCCCCCAGAGGGACTGATGACCTTGTGAGGAGGTGACTCTGTCTTCAAAAATTTAGGTCAAATCTCATCATCAGAAATTTGTCCAACTGTTTGTTCTCAGTGTCTGGGAATCCCCTGGTCCTGTTGATAAATACAGCATTAGCACCTCGCTGGGGACCCTGCAGCGAGTCAGTTGGGGGGTGAAAAGAGGGGTCTTCCAGCCAGGACACGCCCCTGTGGGGAGCCCCCTGCCTCCCTAGCTCCTCCCCCATGTGCAGCCACCCAGCCCAGGAGGTGGTGGTGTCTCCAAGCCCAGCTGGCTGGAGAGGATTCCGGAAAGAAGCCCGCAGGTGAGAGACACCTCACAGATAAATCAGTCACCCAGATCTAGAGCCTGTCCCTGCCTAAGGGGGTCTTTTATCCAGGTACTCAAAGCCCCGTTCAGCTGGACTGTTTTCTACATCCTTTCTCATTTATTATCACGCATCTTTATGATAACAGCACACTGAGCAGGGCTTCCTCTTCCTCCTCCTGACAGTCCCATCTTACCAATGGGGAAACTGAGGCCGAGGATTAAGCACTCACCTAGAACTCCTGCTGCTTTCACTCTATTAAATACTGAGCCCCTTGCTCCAGGGGATTAAAGGTGGCCCTCGTGAAATGGTGAATCAGTCATTAAAACAAAACAAAAACACGCCAAGAATGAGTGTGGCTAGGCATGGCGGTATGAACCTGTAATCCCAGTATTCGGGAGGCTAAGGCTAAGATGGATCACTTGAGCCCAGGAGTTCAAGGGCAGCCTGGGCAACATAGTAAGATTCTGAAGAAAAAAGAGTGTGTGTGTATATATACGCTGTTTGCTTAAAGGACCAGAGGGCAAGGGGGTAGCCAAGGTTGTGGGCACCAACCGTGCAGATGAGGGTGGGATGGGAGGGCTGTGGGGAAGTAGAGGTGCCGTTGGGGGTTCCTGGGCCGGTGCATGAAGGGCAGAGCCTGCAGGTCATAGGAAGCAGGGGTCTGCATGTTCAGATTTTCTAGGGTACTTAGGAACCCTAAAGATCTTTGGTCTCCTCTTTCTCAAGAACAGGATCCTGCAGGTCTGGGCCTGAGACCAGCATCTGTGTTTGTGATTATTCAGGGGGGATGCCAGCAGAATCTTTGCCTCCTTCTCTCTGCACCCTGAACATGGTCGTGCCCCACACAGAGCTCAGAGAGAATGAGGTATGGTCCCCCTGAAGCAGGTGTCTGGGAAAGTGAGGGACGAGGAACAGGGAAAGCTCAGGTGGAGAGGTGGATCGTCATCCTGCCAGCTGCAACGGCAGAGGCAACCTCCAGCTCAAGGGTGAGACTTGGCCCGACAGCTGGCTCCCCAGCCTTGACCCTGAGCCTGTCACCTCCAAGTGACCCTCGCTAAGCCTCGGTCCAGCATTTGTAAAATGAGGTCCAGACGGCCTGGGTGGGTCGAGATCAAATGAGGTGGAGCACGTGACTGCGCCGGTGGCCAGGGCAGCAAGAGGCAAGTGCAGGATGCAGAGTTGGCCCTGCCATGCAGAGCTGGTTACTGGGGGTGGCGGTGGCTGGATGACTGGTGTGACCTCAAGACTGGAAAGTCCACCAGGGCCTGGGAGGCGATGGAATGAGGCCAGGGGCAGGTCAGGGGCATGAGACAGGCGTAGGCCAGGAGAACAGTTGGACTTTGATAGAACATTGGCCTGAAAAACTTGGCTGGGAGCTCTGGGGACTCTGGTGTCTGAGACCCAGAGGTCCTGGGACTGAGGGGGCCCTGCCTGATCTAGCTCTTTCTTCAGACAGCATTCAGAGCTGTGTCCTCCGAGCATGCGTGGATGTCTGCTCCTGTCCTCTCTCTTCCACCACCTTTTGGGAGCTCCCAAATCTGCCTCTGTCAGGACCAGCCTCAGGGCATGTGCTGTCCTGCCTTCTCTGGCCTGAGCCCCGTATCTTGCTGGGGAACGGGGATCTGCTCCCACAGTTCAGCCTCACAGCCTATAGAGGTGGGACCAGAAAGGACTCTGCAGTCTCTGGCACTGCACCCCCATCTGTCTTGGGCATGCCCTAGATCGGGCCAGCCTGGCCTCCACAGACAGAGAGGGACAGTGAGGTCAGCCTGCTGACCTCCCAAGTAGGGAAGGTTCTAAAAGTGCCAGACTCCTCCAGGCCCAGGACGACCTCCCACAACAACATCAACCTCTCAGTCTCAAAAGTGGCCTTCATCTTCATCATTTTTAGCGCGAAAATCTGAAATTCAGAGAAGTTGCTAGGTCCCTGATGCACATCCTGAGACAGAGAATCAGGGCAAGGTGACGTGGGGCAAGCTGCTTCTCTGGGCTGGCGTAGGGGCTTGTCCATGGGGGACCGACAGAACAAGCAGGATCCGTCCAAGGGGAGGCAGAGATGGTCCAGGAAGGGCTGGGGAGGGGCAGGGATAGAGCCAGTCCTGGTTCGGAGGGAGGGAGGGGAGAGCGAGCGAGGAGGCCCTGGGCAGGGGCGGGGAGAAAAGCAGTCACTCCTTGTCCTTGACTTTCTATTTCGAGTCTGATCGATGTTCTAGGGGCTTAGAATGGGACTTGGAGCCTTGGTCAGCTGGGATGGGAAGAGTCAGTGTCCTTGGGGCTCAAAGATCTGCTACCCAGGCTCGGGCACTCCGCCCCACCTTGCTGTCTCTCCCAGGGTCTCTCATGGACCCCAGGCCAACTTCCATCTTATTTCACCTTTGGGGTGGGAAGGCCCTGGAAACGGATTCCCTAGGTTTGACTCTCAGCTCCACCACTTCTCAGATGTGTGACCTTGGGCCAGTTTATCAGCCTGTCTGTGCCTCAATTTCCCTGTTTGTCAGGTGGGAATGACAGTAGCAGCTATCCTATAGGGTTGTTGTGAAGATCGAATATGATAATGCTCATCAAAGACAGACCCGTGCCTGGTGCCTAAGAAGTGCTCAGTGAGGATTAGTCATGGTCAGGTGGTTGAGCAGCTAGACCAGGCAGCAGGCTATGGAATTTCATGACATCGATGTCAGGCTCCCGTTTTTTCCTGCAACCTGCTCCCCTACCATGAGAGCCAGGCAGGAAACAAAAGCTTCCCATCCTCAGGGCAGAGTGCTGTGACCCTCACCTTGGTATCTGGAGCTCAGTTTTCTTAAATGGACAGGCAGAAAGGAGGCTCCAACTCCTGAACCCTCCAGCCTTCCTTCTGCCTCCAGATCTTTCCTAAGACCTGAGGCCGTATACTCCAGTTGAGGAGGAGGCGGGAGCCCCCAGAGGTATCCCTAGGGTGACTGTGACTCAGGGCCCAAGAAAGCTGACACTCCCTCAGCCTGGGCTCTCCTGCCCTTCTTCTCTTGGAGTGACTCTCCCTCCAGGATCTGAAGTCTCCATCCCCTCCTGGCAACCGGTGCCCAGGCCTGGGAGGGCAGCCATCTTGCTCAGGCCTGTTACGTTGCCATGACAACCTGGAACCTCCCAGCCCCACTGCATAGGCCCCTCTGAAAAATTTATCAGGAAAACTTCCGTGTTTAAAAATTAACCATGGAATTGAAATATTAAAGATGAGCTGCTTTGGGCAAGGCAGAGGGCAATGGATTTGGGAGTAGAGGAGCCAAGTCCTTACCTCCTCAGAGGATGGCACCTGCCTGTTGCCCAACATCTGGGGCACCGTGATCAGCTCCTGCCCACTCCGCCCATATCTGCACAGTCCACGGCTTCCTGTGTGGACTGGGGCTGGGCAGGAAGCAAAGGGCCTGCTTCCCTTTTCCTGGACAGGACTCTTCTCCCTTTCTCTGTTACTTCTGGGGACCTTTCCTTTACTCCACCTGAGGTTGGGGTGGTCCTACCAGCAGCGGGGAGCACCTGGATGAGGCCATGAGCAGGCTGAGGGACTCCCCCCGCTGGCCCAGCTGCTCCAGGAACCTGGTCCCAGGAGTTCAACCCAGAGGCAGGGGGTGGGGCCGGCCATGCCCAGGGGTGAGCACCCTGCCCTGCCCCCCAGGAAAGGAACCTTGTGCAAAGCATCTTCTGAAAGAGGGGTCCCCTCAGATGTTGGGGCCAGCACCCTCCCTAGGGCTCCTTCCATCCAGGGGCCTCAGACTGATTCCCCTTTGCCCTTTCCCACCTCAGCCTGTCCATCTGGCCCAGGTGAGTTTCGTCATCCCAGCCTTCAACTCAAACTTCACCTTGGACCTGGAGCTGAACCAGTGAGTGTGGCCTTGAGCCCAGGAGGAAGGGCAGCGGGAGGGTGGGCAGCAGGTGCCTGGGCGTGGCTGCTGGTGCCAGGTGGAGGGTGGGTGCGGGGATCCTGGAGCTGGGGGCAGGCCCCAAGCCTGACCAGGCCTCACCAACAACCCTCTCCTTCCTTCTGCCACTCTGTCTGCTGTTTCAGTCACCTCCTCTCCTCGAAATACGTAGAGCGCCACTTCAGCAGGGAGGGGATAACCCAGCACAGTACTGTGAGTGCCTTCGGAAGGGAACAGGGAGGTGGGATAGGGCTGCTGTTTCTGTGGACAAAGGTATAGGGACAGGGCTTGCAGTGGAGCTCAGAGGTTAAGTGCTTGCCTGGCATGCATGAGGCCCTGGGTTCAATCCCCAGCACTGGGGGAACAAAAGATAGAGGGACAGGTGGCTGGTGGAAGGGAGGTCAGGGAGATACTCAGGAGGGCCTGACTCCTGGAGATCTTCTATCTCTCCTCACCTTGGAAGCCCTGAGAATCGCCATTTGGGTAGGCAGGTCGCACAGTGTGGGACCTGAAGCCCCCTGCCCAGCCCCGGGAGTCCGCCTCCAAGCCAGCTCCTGCCTTGTGGGGGGCATACAGGGGCCCTCACTGTGCCCTGCTGGCTGTCTCCCTAGGATCTCCTGGGAGGAGGCAGTGGAGGAAGTGCCCCTTCTTGCCCTGGGATTCCCGGCTGCCTGCCACACCAGGGTCCCAGCCCTGGAGGCCCTGGAGCCTGAACAAAGATGAATGAGTATCTATAAATAGCCTGCCCCCTCCCAGCCTGTTCAGTAACTGGAGCACAAGTAATTCTGCAGGAAGCAGAGTTGGGGGAGGAGGGTGCTGCTGGTCCCCTGACCCATGAGCCTGGCCAGGAGGACCCATGCTGCTTACAGTTCCTCAGCCACAGACCACATGTCCAGGTGTGTGCCAAAGAGGCAATGTTCAAGTGAGATGGCGTGGGTTAGGGTGAGTCCATAGCAGTCATCCGATTAAATGAGATAATACATGGTAAGTGCTTAGAAGAGGGCCTGACACACAGCAGGTGCTATATAATTGTTAGCTATTATTCTCAAAGAAGTCTGTGACCAACAAATGGCTAAGAACCCCTGCCATGGTCCAACTTCCTCATTTTATAGGAGAAGTAAACTTGGCACAGAGAGGGTTAGGAAACAGCCAATGAGGAGCAGCAGCAGCATAGAACCACACTCCAGAGGCCCAGGTATACCTGGGACTCCAGTCACCTGCACACAGGGCAGCTTTCTGTGCTCCCCCACCATCCTCCTGCCTCCGTGCCAGGGTGGGTTGCCTTATGCTTACTGTTCTGCTGCTCCCCAGGGGGCTGGAGACCACTGCTACTACCAGGGGAAGCTCCGGGACAGCCCGCACTCCTTTGCCGCCATCTCCACCTGCCGGGGGCTGCAGTGAGTATCGGCAGGGCTGGGTGGCAGGGAGAGCCTCCTGCCCAGTCTGGGACGGTGGGGATCTGTGCCTCTCTCTCCACAGTGGGGTCTTCTCTGATGGGAACTTGACTTACATTGTGGAGCCCCAAGAGATGGCTGGGCCTTGGGGAGCCCCCCAGGTAAGCCCTCACCACCCCCTCTGATGGCCATGCTGTGACCGTCCCAACAGCTGTCTCTGCCTCCTCCTCCCCCTCCCTCAGTAACCTCAGACTCACTGCCCTCCTCAGTGATCCCAGCTCTGGTTCCCTCGCCCTATGCCCCCAGCTCCAATGTCCCCTCTGTCCCCTGAGTGACCTCCAATTGGGCTCCAGTGTCCTTTGCCCCATGTCTCTCAGGGCACCCCCAGGTCTTGACCCCGGAATCTGAGCATCTGGGAGATCAGATCCGACATGGGAGCTCTGGCCAGTTCTGGGTCACCCTAGGTTGGCATGGAGAGAAGGGCTGGAGCTACCCCCTCAACTGGGCCCAGAGCAGACCTGGTTGGCTCCCCAAGAACTAATCCCCCCTCATTGCAGGGACCCCTTCCCCACCTCATTTACCGGACCCCTCTCCTCCCAGCCCCCCTCGGATGCAGGGAACCAGGTAAGGGAGGGAAGGTTGGGCTGGGGTGGGGGTGGGCCGTGCCCCCCTCACCTGCCCCTCCCCACAGGCTGCCTGTTTGCTGACCCCGCCCATTCTGCTCCTCCAAACCGGCCGAGGCTGAGAAGGAAAAGGCAGGTACGGGGCCCGCTCAGACCTCGGGCTTCAGAGACATCAGGCTGTGGTCCAAGGCAGGAACTCCCACCTATGGCCAGGGAGCCATCTCTGGGAAGAGCCCCCCAACTCCTCCCTAACACTGATGTCTACACAGGTCCCCATCTCAGGCAAGCAAAGGCTGCTGGCCCTCTGTGCCCATTCCCAGGCTGGGGAGGGATGGGATACGCTACAGTGGAGGCTGGCACTGTCCCCCGCTGCAGTCCAGACCACCCCACATACACCGAGTCTTCCATGGCTTGGCCATGAGGCCAAACATGGAGGGACTGATTCCAAGTGCCCACCCACCCCCCAGGTCCGCAGGGGCCACCCCACTGTACACAGTGAGACCAAGTACGTGGAGCTGATTGTAATCAATGACCACCAGCTGGTAAGTTCCCAGACTTGGGGGGTGACACCAGGAGGAAGGGCCAGGAAGAAGCCTCCCTCCCTCCCCCTCTTCTCTTTTGCAGTTTGAGCAGATGCGACAGTCTGTGGTCCTCACCAGCAACTTTGCCAAGTCCGTGGTGAACCTGGCAGATGTGGTGAGCAGCCCTTCCTCCATCTTCTCCACACTCTTCCACACATCCAGGGGTCACTTTCAGCCTCTGACCCCCTCTTCCTGGAGGGACATCCCTGTCCCCCCACAACCACTCCCACCGTCCAACCCTCCTCATCTTCTTCCCTCTGGTACCAGATATACAAGGAGCAGCTCAACACCCGCATTGTGCTGGTTGCCATGGAAACATGGGCAGATGGGGACAAGATCCAGGTGCAGGATGACCTCCTGGAAACCCTGGCCCGGCTCATGGTCTACCGGCGGGAGGGTTTGCCTGAGCCCAGTGATGCCACCCACCTCTTCTCGTGAGTCCCTTGACCCATGCACCTGACCTGGGCTCCTTCTGTGGTGCTTAGGGTTCTTAACACCTGCCTGTGCAGGTGCTCTCCTCAGAGCCTGGGGAGTCTGAGGGCCAAGCTCACCTTGCACTTGACACCTGCCCCAGCCACATGCAACTGGCTGGGCATCCCCTGCATCTTAGGCTGGGTCCCATTGCCTTAGCCCTGGGGTGGGGGGTCTTCATATACCCTTACCTCCCCACAGTCCCCTCTTTCCCCTTCAGACTGTCCCATTATCCCTTCCTCAGAGACCCAGTACCCTGATGGAGTGGGGGGGATCTAATTACAGGGCCTTGCAACTAGAGATGATCTAATAGGAATCTCTTACTTGACTTTCAGGCAAATGAGGCCCAAGGTGGGGGGGCTTGCCTGCTTCCCTAAGGAAGGACTCTAGTGTCAGGGTCCCCTGCCCCCACCTCCTAACACCCCAGGGAGTCACATAGGGAAGGCAGGAGATCACCCTGACAACTCTTTCCTTCCAGGGGCAGGACCTTCCAGAGCACCAGCAGTGGTGCAGCCTACGTGGGGGGCATCTGCTCCCTGTCCAGGGGTGGGGGTGTCAACGAGGTGAGTAGGGAAGGCCTGGCTGGGGTGGGGCTGAGGGAGAGGGGATACCAAGCACAAGATGCCTGTTGGGAGGATGGAGACATCTTTGTGCTCCATCTTCCCCACCTCTAGTATGGCAACATGGGGGCCATGGCAGTGACCCTGGCCCAGACGCTGGGGCAGAACCTGGGCATGATGTGGAACAAACACAGGAGCTCAGCAGGTATCAACCCTTAGAGAACACCAAGTGATCCCACAGCCAGCCTCGACCCACACCCAGCAACTCTAGAAGTAAAGAGGGTGTAAGTGGGAGGGAGTGGTCCTCCACCCTCCCTCATATCCTCCTGGCTCACCTCTCAGGGGACTGCAAGTGTCCAGACATCTGGCTGGGCTGCATCATGGAGGATACTGGGTGAGTTCTTGGGCACGAACTGGGGAGAGGGTCTTGAGGGGAATCCCAGAGAAGGCACTGGATTAATCTGCGCCCCAAAAGCCCAGCTCATGGGACCACACGGGATTCCAAGAAGCCCAGTTCTCTTCGAACACTACTCAGAAGGCCCAGATTCCCCTGCTGGGACACGAAACTTGGCCAGACTGTAGTGCACGCGTTCGCCACTGGGCGCCGCCCGAGCGTCGTGTGGAGGCGCGGTCCCTTCTGAGCGCTCGGAATCCTGAGATTCCGCAGAGCTGGCGGGAGCTACGTCCTCCGCTCATTCCTTGATGGGCAGGCGGGAGGATTGTAGTGCATTCAGCCGCCTTTCGATGGTGACCGAGACACTGGTGTGCCCGCTCCCCAGAGTTAACAAGGGGCGAGAGGGCGGGCTGGGGGGGGATCATCCATCCCCTCACCATCGCCCAGGTTCTACCTGCCCCGCAAGTTCTCGCGCTGCAGCATCGATGAGTACAACCAGTTTCTGCAGGAGGGCGGCGGGAGCTGCCTCTTCAACAAGCCCCTCAAGGTACCAGCCCCGGGGCGGGGAACAGGGGAGGCGGGCTTGGGCAAGGTCCCAGCCAGACTCCCGACACCCCCTCCCGGTCCAGCTTCTGGACCCCCCCGAGTGCGGAAACGGCTTCGTGGAGGCGGGGGAGGAATGTGACTGCGGCTCGGTGCAGGTGAGCGGCCTATGCGTGCGCCAGATGGGACCGGGGAGGCGGAGGTGGGCGCGGGGGAGGGTCGGAGTGGGGAGAATTAGGACTTGCCCGCTTCCCTCCGCTACTCTTGGCGACCCTCAGGAATGCAGCCGAGCGGGTGGCAACTGCTGCAAGAAGTGCACTCTGACTCACGATGCTATGTGCAGCGACGGGCTCTGCTGTCGCCGCTGCAAGGTGAGGAAGAGCGATCGGGCGGGGCCGGGACCACGGAGGGACCGTGGGACGACTTCAGATAAGAGGCGGCAGGGGCTGGGGATGTGGTTCAGGGTGTAGTTCAGTGGTACAGCGCTCTTGCCTGGTAAGCATGAGGTTCTGGGTTCGATCTCGTGCGTGCGCGTGTACACACACACACACACACACACACACACACGGGAGGCGGAGCTGTTAAGGGCGGAGCACATATATGGGCGGGACCTGGCTCGAAAGAAGCACCAATGAGCGATTGGGGCGGGGCGTTCGGCCACCTTGGACTGTTGAAAGCCTGGCTCTGAGGGGTGGGATGGGGGTGAGGGGTGAGCAGCCCCTAAATGGGGGGGACAGGGAAATGAGAACCCGTGGGGAAGAGGGTGTTGTCCCGGAGAGGACGGCGCCAAGGTATCTATAGCCCCGAAATGCATCCCTTCCTTAGTACGAGCCGCGAGGTGTCTCCTGCCGAGAGGCGGTGAACGAATGCGACATCGCGGAGACCTGCACTGGAGACTCAAGCCAGGTCCGCCCGGCCAAGTCGTCCTACGGAGCCCCGGGCAAGGCAGCCCCTACCCCTATCGGTTTGGTTCTGTGACAGCTCTCTGAGCCCCTGCGCTTCGCAGCTGGCGACACTAGCCGCTCATCATCTCATTTCCTTATCTGAGGAAGGGGTTCTTCATGCCTCCTGGCTTTGTTCCTTCAATCATTAAACCAGCATTTACAGTCTGGCTGGTATTTCCAGCGCCTGGCACAGCACCTAGTGTATGCTAGGGATCAGAGTGGATAATAATATTGGTTAACATCAATTAAGTGGTAATTATGTGCTAGGCATTTTTTTCTCCCTGTCCTCAGAGATGGGTGGATGTAGGAGACTGAGGAAAGCTGGAGAGGCCAAAGGACTTTTGAATCTACATGGTTAAATCCAGAACCAGACACACTCCTTTTGTCCTTAAGGTTCAAGAACCCTGTAACATGAGTCTTATTCCCAGGGGAGGCTTTTTTTTTAAACTGAGGATTGAACCCAGGGCTTTGTGCATGCAAGGCAAGCACTGTACCAGTTGAGCTATATCTTCAGCCCCCAGGCATTTGGCAAGCCTGTATGCCTCCCTGGGGTGTCTGCTCAGTCAGCCCTCTCTCCACAGTGTCCCCCTAACTTGCACAAGCTGGATGGTTACTACTGTGATCATGAGCAGGTATGAGGGGAGGGGGCTCCTTCCATTCATGGCTCAATGCAATCTCTTGTCTCCACCTGATCCCCCAGTATCTCTCTCCATCTCCTGACTCTTGTTTGCTGCTCCTTCAGGGTCGTTGCTATGGAGGTCGCTGCAAAACTCGGGACCGACAGTGCCAGGCCCTTTGGGGCCATGGTGAGTCTGGCTGAGTGTGGAGAGGGGACTCTGAGGGACCCAGAATTGAGACACTCCCAGGATCTCAGAGAGCCAACTGGCCTGGAAATCAAACCACAGTCGGGAGGTATGGGCCTGAGGTCCTGGGGTGGGTGGGGTGACACCTGGCATCATCTTTCCCCAGTGGCTGCTGATCGCTTCTGCTATGAGAAGCTGAATGTGGAGGGGACAGAGCGTGGGAACTGTGGGCGCAAGGGGTCAGGCTGGGTCCAGTGCAATAAGCAGTGAGTAGTCAAGGCACCTACTGAGCCTTGGGGAAGCTCTGGGGAGGGAAGTGATATTCAGGTTCTTCTAGGAGGAGCCCGAAGCCCAGTGGAAAGGGCAGAACAGAGTTCAGTAATTGGGTCTGGAACCAAACTTGGGCTCACTATCTCCACATGCCCCAACAGGGATGTGCTCTGTGGCTTCCTCCTCTGTGTCAACATCTCTGGAGCACCTCGGCTAGGGGACCTAGGGGGAGACATCAGCAGTGTTACCTTCTACCACCAGGGCAAGGAGCTGGACTGCAGGTGTTGGTTGGGACCATGGCTGGGGAAGGGGAGGTGGCAGCTCCGATGGGGCTAGGGGACGGGGATTGAAGCTGGCTGAATCATCTCCCAGGGGAGGCCATGTGCAGCTGGCTGATGGCTCAGACCTGAGCTATGTGGAGGATGGCACGGCCTGTGGGCCCAACATGCTGTGCCTGGACCACCGCTGCCTGCCAGCCTCTGCCTTCAACTTCAGCACCTGCCCAGGCAGTGGGGAGCGCCGGATCTGCTCCCACCACGGGGTGGGTGCCTGGAGGCCAGGGATGGTGGGAGAGGCTTACAAGAGGGGACACAGATCTACTCACCTCTGCTGGCGCCACCTCACCTCTAGGTCTGTAGCAACGAAGGGAAGTGCATCTGTCAGCCTGACTGGACAGGCAAAGACTGCAGCATCCACAACCCCCTGCCCACATCCCCACCCACCGGGGAGACAGAGCGATATAAAGGTGAGGCTCGAGCTGGCCAGGGCGGGTCTGTCTTTCCCATTCTCCATTCCTGTCCCTGCCAACCAAGCCCTGCCCTCCTCCCCAGGTCCCAGCGGTACCAACATCATCATTGGCTCCATCGCCGGGGCTGTCCTGGTTGCAGCCATCGTCCTGGGCGGCACGGGCTGGGGATTTAAGTAAGAGACGCGCGCGCGCGCGCGCGCACACACACACACACATGCACCCTAGACCCCCTGGTGTCTTCAGGGTCAGAACCCAGACTGTTGGAGCTGAGGGACTTCCCTGAGAGGTTTCATAAACCAGAGCTCACACATCACCAGTCCAAGTCAGCCCACAGGGTCTCGTTTCAACATTTGAACAATTGCTCACATTTATAAACCAAGAAATTTCACGTTTAACAATCCCAACTGCCAGGCTCTCTTGAAAAATGTGAAGGTTGGCTGGGAGTGGTGGTACATGTTTGTAAGCCCAGTGACTCTGGAGGCTATGACAGGAGGATCTCAAGTCTGAGGCCAGCCTTGGCAACTTAACAAGACTCTGTCACAAAATTAAAAAACAAAAACAAGGGAGGTGGTGCTAGGATGGAGGTCAGTGGAAGGACACCCTGGGGTTCACTCCCCAGTACTATAATATACATGTTGGGCCCCAGTGTACCTCAGTGTATCTCAGCACAGCTGGGTGGAGGCCTGCAAGGCTCACCTGTGCCAGGTGTGTGTTCCCTTATCCCTAGTCTCCACTGAACCTAAGAGCCCCTTGGTCATCTAAGTGTGGGGCCCTGGAGTTGATCCAAACCCCCCCCCCCCCATATACGAAGGAGGAACCTGAGGCACAGGGTCAAATGGTGAATTAGTGGTAGAGTCAGGAATTGAACCCAGTGCCCATTTTTGGTAGATCTCAGTATTGCGCACTGGCCCTGTCCTTAGTTGTCCAGGTCTTGGCGACCCAGGCCTCTCTCTAGGTCAGGGAGTCTCATAAGGGCTGGGAGGGCTCTCCCTGGAGAGCAGAGGAAGGTCAGATTTCCTTTTCCTGTTTCTCTCTCCCGTCTTGCCTTGGCTCCTGAAGAAACATCCGCAGAGGAAGGTACGACCCGACCCAGCAGGGGGCAGTGTGACGCCGGCCACATCATCCCTCCCGCTGTCCTTGTCTCCTCCATCTCATTTGTGCTCTGGCATTCTGTTGACGGGAGCTGGGGGCCGATTCCCCAGCCCTGCAGGCGGCCTGGGATGAATGCTCTCAGCCTGCCCCACCCCATCCTCTTGCCCCCTAGTCCTCTGGGGCCACGGTCATGTTCTGCTGCCCCTCCTACAGCCTGACCACCTGGCCAGGTGGGCCCTGGAGCTGTGCCCCCTGCAGCCCCAGTTCCCTGGGAAGGGATCCTCCTTTTGCGTCCCATCTGTTTTGTCTTCCATGTCACCGCTGTCTTACCTCCCACCAGACCCCCTCCCGGCTAGCCTGTGACTTGCTGCCTCCAGGGCCCAGCACTGACTCCCCAGCTGGAGGGCTCTCCCTCTGGGCCCTGCCTCATACCCTCCCCTGATGCCCCCTCTCCGTTCCAGGTCCGGAGGGGCCTAAGCGCCACCCCCCTCCCTCCGAGCCTGGCACCCACCGTCTCGGCCCTGAACCACGAGGCTGCCCCCACCCAGCCACAGAGGGAGGCACCGTGCAAATGTCTTCCAGGTCCAACCCTTCAACTCCTGGCTCCACAGGGGTTTGGAGGGGGGGCTGTGGCCCTGCCCTTCGAACCACCAGGGTGGCCCAGGCCTGGAGGGCATTTCCTTCACGGTCCCACCCCACCTCATGTGGCTTTGGCCTTGCACACCAACTCTCCCTGTGAATGTAGCTTCCATCATCACAGTTTGCCACAGCTCAAGTGGGGGGGCCTGGAGTGGTGCCCCAGTGGGGGCAGGCAGCCACCAGCGGACACAGCCTGGGATGGCCCCTCTTCAGAACTAGACAGCTGGTACCAGGGACTCAGCTCTCTAGGACCTAGCGGGAAGGGGCTGACATCTACTTTTTATTTTTAATTGAATCTTAACTAATGAATGTAACCTTGGGGGTGCTGGAGCCAGGGCAGCTATAGGGATATTTTGACATTTACCAGAGGGCCTGGAGGAACTGAGGTACGGTCATCTCAGGGAGACCCTCCCCTGGGATGCTCACACCTGGAATCCTGTCACTGAACTCAGTGGCTGGATGTCCAGCTTGCCCCGCCCCCAACCCCAGCCTTGAGGAGCTCAGAAGTGTGTGTGCTGATCTCAAACCAAAGCTGCCTGTCCCGTGCCCAAGGCTAGGTTGTGGGTACGGTGACCACATGTCCCAGATTGTCTTCAATTCCCAAACAACAATCTGGTTCCTGCCTGGACACATGTATTGTGGGGGCAGGGGACCAGAAAATACAGTCCCTGAAATAAAATGGCACCTTCCCCTTTCGATAAGGGTAATTCTGGGGCTGACTCAGGGTTTAGGTGCCCCCTGACGGGGCCTGGCAGTCCCAGGCCAGGCCATCCTCCCAGGGAGGGCTCTTTAGGTAGGTAGGGCCAGTAGTGTCCCAGTGCCTGGAGGGGTAGTGCCTATGAGGTAAGAGAAGATGAGGAAAGGGCAGGTCTTGGGGACCATCCTAGGTTTCTAGAAAAGTTCTCAAGGCCTCATCAAACCCTTTTCTACTCCCTGATCCCTTCCAGGCCCAACCAGTAAGTTTACAGATGTGCCCCTATCTGTTCTCCTCTGACCCTGATGCGGCCATGCCTGAGAGCCTGACTAAGGCCTGCAGCTCTCCTCAGCCCTCCCACAAACAGGCCTGCCCCCAGCCTGCCCTCATGGCCCTCACTTGAGATGCAGGAGCTCTGGCTCTGTGACCCTAAAAGTGATGAGCAGAGGGCTACCTTATGGATGAAAGCCACAATGGATGGAGTCGCCCCACCCCAGGGTTCACCATCTAGACTCAGAAGGGATTTCTGAACACCCCAGGGTCTCTAAGTTGCCTGCTTGTGTCCCTCTTTCTGGGGCCTCTTTGAAGAGGAATCAAGGAGGAAATGGCTCCCCACTTATCCAAACCACCCTCAGAGGCAAATGAGTCTGGGACCCATTGACAGCCTTTCAGGTGACTGGGTGACATCAGCTACAGTGAGGTCCTCAGTACTGTGCCCCAGCTGGCTCTGACCAAGTGAAGGGGCTGAGCAGGTGGCCCCTTTTTCCAATTCTGCTCCACAACCTGAGGCTGGTCAAGGCCTGGGCTTTGCACTCTTGCCACGATACCTTGAGGCCTCCATTCTCAGGTGGCACATGGGCACACAAGTGGCAATGCATCTGGGCACAAGCATGTGGACCCACATCTCTGCACAAGTGTGAATGCCTCCGCACACATGGGCATGTCTGTGTGCTCACGTGCCCGTGGGGGTGGGGACATGGAGAAGAGACTTCCTGTGACCAGTGGATCCTGGCTCCCAGCTGTCTGCATCCTCCTGTCCCGCCCTGACGGTACAGCCTGGCAGTGCCCAGTGGGGAGTGGGGACTTCTCTGGCCTGGCCTGGACCTGGCTCCCTATGCATTCTGTACATAGGTCATCTGGGGCTTGGGGTGGGGAGGCAGGGCCAGGAATATCAAATCAATTAAAGATCACATCCTGGGGCTTCCACGGAGCTCACACCAACCTGTGTCTCTCCTTTCTGTAAATGGCCTTAATGTGTGACTCAGGCCCTCTCCCTCCTGGGACTTGGCAAGAAGCTTGATTACTGGCGGGGAGCAGGGAGCTGGGGGCAGGAAGGGAGCCCCCAGGAACACAAGGAGAGGAAGGGGCATGACTTCCCATTCTCTCCCATTCCGGGCGAGGAAACAGACACCGGGTGGAGGCCCAGCCCTCCCTTCCTTGCCTGCCCCAACAAAGACACTGCCCCTGCTCTGGCTTCTGCTGAGCACGCAGGACACTCAACCTCCCTGTTAAGGCCAATGCCAAAAAAAGTCTCTCTTCACTCCAGAGATTCCAGAAAGCTGGGCCAGCCCAGTACCAGCTGTACTCTTAGGGCACAGCGCTCTGTTCCCACCCTCTACTCTCTCTGCCCAGCTGGGGTGGGCAAGACTGGTTGGTGGCCCCAGTGTGAGCCCAGAACCTCTTTTCTACCCTACTCTGGCATGTCAGTCCCCTCTGGGCCAGGAGGTGCTCTGTCTGGGGAGGCGGAGGGAAGGACCTACCCTGGGAGGGTCCCTCGGCACTGGAAGTCTGGTGCAGTCAGGGAAGAGAAAAAAGAAAGGGGGACACACCAGAAGCTCCATTCCAGCCCACAGGCAGGAAAAGGAGGGACGACAGGACAGGGAGGAGATGGTGCAGCACCAGGCATGGTCCTGGGGAGAGGGCAGCTAGGAGGGCCAGGATCAGAGCCCTAGTCCCAAATGGCAGAACTCCCAGGACCACCTGAATTCATACACAGAGTTAGGACACAGGGTCACGTTCAACTTAGATTCCTGGTCCCCACCCTACTGCAGCATCTCAGTGCCCCCGATGCAGGGAACACCTGAGGCATCTCCAGAGGCTGATGGGCAGCTTTTCCATTCAGTGTGCAGGGTGAAGAGGCAAGAGACATTCTCAAACCCGTCAGTCAAGGACCCAAGTCTGAGTGTCCCTTGCTTCCTTGCTCTGGGCTGGATACCCTATTTTTAACTTTTTCCATTGCTCCTGCCTCTCAACAGCTCCATCTCTACACTTAACCCCTTCTCGGTTCCCAGTTGCTGGTCTGCTGAGTCCACTGCTGGCCCCTGAACGACTGAAATTTGAGGCTATTAGTAGATAGTTGGCAGAGAGGGCATAGGGGAGGTTCAGCAGTCGTAGCTCTGAAGGTCAGTGCAGGGTCACCTGCCACCTCCCTGCCTTGGTGCTCTGTTATCTTTGAGTGCCTACAGGAACAGAGGCTTCAGGAAAGAGCAGGCGCTGGCTGGCAATGGGAGTGCCAGGAGGTGCCCATGCCTTCTGCCTCTGGCCTCCCTGACTATGATGCCAGCACCTCTCTCTGAAACTTTCCAGGAGGAAATAAATGCCTGTGGGCTGGAATGGAGCTTCTGGTGTGTCCCAAACAGGTTAATCATCTGAGAGGAGTGACTTTTACTCAGAATACGTCACAGGCAGTTCGGAGGAGTGGTTCCGAAACAGTGGGGAGTGGGATCAAGAATTTGAAATTGCTGGGAAGCTTGCCTATTGCAAGCAATACTCAGGGGTGTTTTTTCCAAAGTAGAAAGTCCTTCTATTAGATCACAACCCCCAGCTGCCTCTGAGTCCCCCCACAAATGAGTCAGCATACACCCCGTAGGATTTCTGGATGGATCACAGGTACGGATTCCAGTTCCCAGCTGTCTGCTCAGGTTGACATGGCTGCTCACTGCCTGCCCTCTCCTGTTGAAGGTGGCCAGGATGGAGAGCTGGGGTCAGGAAGCCCTCGCTACACCTTGCAGGTGCTCAGACAGTCTACCTGTTGAGTTGAAGGAACAATGACACATTCATCATGGCTCATCCCTGTGTCTAGACCTGTGTCCCACAGGATAGAATGTAGGCCTCACAGCAAGCTACAGGTGAGTTTTTAAATTTTCTAGTAGCCTAGTTTAAAAAGAAACAGATAAAGATAATGCATTTTATTAAATCTAATATATCCAAACCATTCTCACTTCCACATGTAATCAACAAAAAAATAATTATTGGGATGTTAGGTTCTTTTTTTTTTTTTTTTTTTTTGCACTAAATCTTTAAAATCAGGAATGTATTTTGCTCTTGAAGCACATCTAGGTTTGGACTAGTCACATTTCAAGTGCTCAGTGGCTACAAGTGCCTACAACTGGTGCTATGAAGTAGCAAGACTGAAACCCAGGAAGCTTGAGGTAAGGAGGAAGAGGCAGCAGACACACAGAGGGACCTGGATCAGTTACAACAGACGCTGCCTCATCAGAGGTCAGAGAAGCCATGTGTACAGTCCTTTCTGGAAGGCAAGACGGGGAAATTATAACTAGAGTGAGAGACCTAGATTTGCTTTGCCCTGAAAGGGGCTCAGAGCCCTGGGACTTGCTGGAAGTAATATAAGATTTCTACCAACCTTTCCAGAAGGTCAGCGGGAGAGAGAAGCAGCCAACCCTGAGGCTGGGTGCCAAGAAGACTCCTGAAGACTTCTAGACAAATGCTCAGAGCTCTTGCCCATGGGCTCTTCAAGCCATCTGCTGTTGAAAGTAAAATAACGAGGGTTAGTGCTGGGGCTCGAGCTATTGTTATCATGTCCTCTGAGAGGCTTCAGCTTTTACAACCTGGGGACCAGCCCTGGTGACAGTTCCTGAAGAGGGTCCTGGGACCCCTTGCAGTGGTGCAGGAGTTCTTAGAGGGCCTGTCAGCATCCTGCACCTTTGTCTTGGCCCTGGTGAGGTCGATGGAGTTATGAAGCCGTGGGCAGCGCTGTTGGCGCAGAGCAGAGGGGGAGACCTTCCAGTAGGCCACAGGCCACATTCCAGGTCAGCTCTCAGGACCAAGAGCCACCTGGCTCTGCAGAATGCTGACAGAACACCTCCAATGAGGGAGTTTTAGCAGCAAGGAGCCCTTAACAGACTCCTGATTGACCTCTACTCCCTCACAGAGCTAGTCACCTGGTCCAGCTGATATAGATCAAGACTAAGCCAACGGGTGAGGGAACAAAGGCACTTCTCAGGGGGTTGGGGGACTCCAGGTCTCATCCTCCAGTCCCCACTGCCTCCTGGGGCAGTGCTGGAGCTGAACTCTGAAGTGCTAACCCTGCTCCTCTCATCCACCGACCCCTCCCACGTGGTCCTGGCCTTCAGCCGCCTGAACCCCTGCCTGCTGGG